TAGCGCCTCCACACCCAAAAAGCAATGCGCTCACCCAAAAACTGAAACACCAAAGAAGACCGCCCCCTGCTCCACCCCAACACCTTTCCTTCAAAAAGAGGCCATGGCCCACCCACCCCCTGAATCTCTCCCCTTGCCCACCCACTCACAAATAAACAATTAAAAAGCCACCATCTGCCTCGGGATGAAGAGCAGGGAGGGGAAAACACACACACACACCACACACACACACACACAAGATCATCTCCCCAGAAAAAAGCAAACGCATGGGTGGACTTCTCTTTGGCGAAGCTGATTAATAAGGAAAGCTTCCTTTCCACCTGGCTTTGGAGGACAGGAATTTTGCTTGAAAGGAAAATCCCACCCATTCAGGTGAGAGAGGAGGCCACAGAGAAACGACATCTCTCCGAGGAGGGAAACCGACGCCAAACACCAAGTGCCCCCTCCCCTCCACGTGCCCACTGCCAGAATGCGCAGAAGCTATACAGCTCCCCCTGCAGAGATGATCCCCCCACGCCCGTTTGTGTGTGTGTGTATCTGTCTGCATGCCCCTCCCCATCCCAAAGCGAACGGCAGCTTCCCCATCATTTATCTATCTATGAGAAGGCAAGCAGGAAGTGAGAGGAGAAAGACCCGAGGAGTGGGCAAGACGGCTGCTCCCCAGGTGACAACCTCCCTTCAAAAAAAAGAGGATGGAGGGGCAGCCTCCAAGCGAGCGCCTGGCTCTCCATGTGAAAAAAACACTGGGTGAAAAGGGCAGCAGCCAGGGCAGTGAAGGGGCAGAGGAACCAGGACGCATGGGGGGGACCAAGGTTGCCATTTCTTTCTCTGCCCTGAGGGAGAACCGCACCCAGGGCACCGGTGGGGTGAAAGGCAAGAAAGAAGGGGGGAAGCCACCACAGCTCAACACTGAGGAAGAATCCCCAACACTCCCAAGGAGGGAGGGGGAGTGGACCAGACCAAGAGTGGAAGGGCTGGGCTGGGCCCACTGCTCCCATCCCCCCCGTCTCCTCAATGGGACCTGCCCTCAAACAGTCTCCTCCCGTCCAGCACCTCCACAGAAAGGGGTGGGAGATAGATCACACAAACAATGTGTGGGTGGGGATGTGCTGCCCAGTGAGCGCTCCCCACTTCTCCCCCTCCCTCCCCCTCCACCCTCTCTGAAACCCACATTCATAGCCCCCCTGGGAGGAGACTGTGCTCTGTCCCCCCCACCAGAAGATGGGGAAACGGCAGTGCCAGTTGAGGGGGGGGTGGCTCAAAAGGTTCTTTGTCACCTGGTGCTGCAATGGGCAAAAAAGGGTAGGGAGGGGTGAAAAACAGCACCACGCCTGGTGGCAGAGGTGACACTGGGGTGTCCACTGCACAACAAACTCCCCCCTCTCCAGTTGCGAGGAGGCGGAGGGTTCCAGAAACCCAGCAGGCCACCGTGGCACTCATGAAGGGAGGGTGACGGAAAGCACCCAACCCCTCTTGTGCTGCAAAGAGCTTCACCA